ATCCCATTTTTTAAGATGTCCTGCCACTTGGTTAAGATTGGGGACAAGGAATGAAGCACATACAGCAGTGTTGGATCAGGTGACCCAGTCCTGGGGAAAATTTTTTTTTTTTTTATCATCTTGGAACATATCTTTATCCACCCACAAGACTGAAACCCCATGTGTTTCTACATAGCAGCACTCTTTGGATTAGGAAAATTGCTGGGAGCCACTGGAAGGGTCAGCTTCTGAAATACTGCCCTTCAAGTAGCAAAGGAGAATGGACAGGAGTTCCTTGCCTCGGAAAGATGTGTTACACACTCCCAAAGAGAGCCCCTGTGGTCCTGTTCTTGCTAGGGACACAAGGGGAAAGGGAAAAAGCAGTCAGGAGATACTTACATTTGGATCAATATTATTAAAAAGGTCAATTTCATTTAAATGTTTAAAGTTATCACTTCCTCCAAGACAACTGCAAGAGAAAAGCATTTTGCTAGTTATGCAGCTCCAACAGCAAGTCTCAAAGCATAGATAGCTGCACCGAATTAAGAGCACATGCTACTTGTTCAGTGTCAGCCTCAGCTTTTAGATACTCAAATTGCAAATTCTCTTCCACTTAACAGAGTAGGCAGTTATTTATTTACCTGAATGTAAGTTTGGATTTTTCAAAGTTTACGTTAACATCTTTACTGTCTTCAACACAAAATTCAATAAAGACATAGTCCCTCCGGTCATACCACTTCGCAGAAGCAGGCTGCCTAGAAACAGACCGTTTAAGAGAAATCGATCAAAATTGAGACCTGGGTCACTTATAAAAAGTCAACGTTAAGCCTGACAAAACTGTTTAAGATGCTGAGGACCAAGATCCAGCTGTCCCAGCCTGCTATTAAGTACTAGAGGAGACATTGTCAATGTTCACACATTTCCCCCCCTTGACAGGTTCAATAGTATCCATCTAATTTCCATGGTAATGGAGACAACTTCTTAGAACAGGGAAAACAGGTTTTTGTACAAGTATAAGTTATATGGCAATACTATAAGCCTCTTATAAGTAAGAATTTAAAAGCATGCTTAGGTTGAAAAGTAGAGACAAATGTAAAAGAGATACCCAATAGCATTTCAGCACCGAGGGAAAACCAGGGCCACGTCTAGACCAACCTTACTGTGACCAGCAAAAGCGCCCACAGCCATCACCGCAACACCTCCCCTACCTCGTGTACAGAAGTAGCGAAGCTTTAGGAGTGGGAGTAAGAGCTAATGACAATTAACTCACCCCTGGCACCACATGGAAGTGACTACACTGCTTCTGGTCAGCACAGCAATATGGGGAATAACAGAAGGCAAGTTTGAGCGCGCCAGTGCCAGGCAAGGTAAATATGAAGTCTAGACATGCCTTCTGATAACTTCCCACTAAGGTTAACGAGAACACTTAATAGGAGCAAAACCCCAGGAGAAGGCGACATACTTCCTGATGGATGCTTGTACAATAAGACTCAAACTCTTGCCACTGCTAACAGCACCAATTAGCCAAATTTAATACGTTAGTTATTAGAGGTGCACGGATATATTGGCGCCGATCCGATATGAGACCAACGTAATTGACAGCATCGGCAATCAGCTTTTTTTGGCTGATGTGGCTGATAATGTCACCGATAAATGCCCCCCCACGCACCAGCACAGCCAGAGCCACAGCACAGCACACAGGTGGCCAGGAGTGGAGCCCAGCAGCATCCAGCTGGTAAGTCGG